CTGAGACAACTCCCACCTTTAAAACACTGTCTTTAAAACAGAGCTTGTCTAAAATGATCAACACCTCACGGTGGGACGTTTCACTGGAAGCAGCCCAACTCCTATCCCTTGTAGAGCTCAAGAGTGTTGATTAACAGGGATATCTTCTAGCATTGCTTCAAGTCTACCTGTCACTGCAGGTTGGGAAGGAAGGGTTCAGGCTTCATTCTTCCCCATTCGTTTATTTACTCAGTCAACACCCATAGGTCAGTCACACACTTCATCACAACAGCCCTGTGAGGCAGGCATAATTGTTCACATTTACAGATGAGAACACTAAGGCTCGGGGAGATGGAATCACTTACTCAGGGTCACATAGTGCTCTAGCTCTCTGTGGCTACATAACAAATCTTAGTGTTTGAAACAATAGCTATTCTCTCATGTTTTCTGTGGGTCAGAAATTTGGGAGGGGCTCAGCTGAATGGTTCTAGCCTGGAGTCTTCAGTGCAGTTCCAGATAATGGCTGGAGCTGGAATGGCACAGGCTGGAGAAGCTATGGACTGGCTGGGACTCTACTGCAGTCTCTCCACATAGTCTCAGGCCTCTGCCTGCAGCCCCTCTGTGGGCTGCTTTGGATTTCCTCACAGTATGGTGGCCTCAGAGCAGTCAGACTACTTACATGGAGGCTCAGGACCCTAGCTGGAGTATTCCAGCAAGCAAGGTGCAAGTGGCATCCCTTTTCTGACCTCTCCTCAAAAGTCTCATGGTGTCGCTTCCACCATTTCTGCATTCTTTTGGTTGCCTGTGAGTTTTAAGCCCACCCAGATTCAAGGATGGGAGCATAGACCACACCTCTCAGTGGAAAGAATGTCAAGGTCACATCATAGAGTAACATGTGAGATGCAAGCTATTCTTGCAGACATCTTTGAAAACTACAATCTGCCATACACAGCAAGTGACAGAGCCGGGATCTGGATTAAATACACCTAATTTCAAAACTTCTGCTGTGAAATTTTAGCCTAGCCCACAGGGACCTGTCCTTTCCTCTGAGCCCCTGTAGCTCTTAGTGTTGGCACACACAGTCATGATTTGGTCTTCTCAACGGACTAGAGCCTGGCTAAGTTGAAGAAGCCAGCCACCTCTGTGGGCCCTGGCGCTGAGACTGCCTCCAGAGTCTGCTGGTCAGAGAGGCCATGCCCAATGCCAGCTTGTGAACTTTTTAAAGAAGGAGACAGAGAAGGTCGGTCACATCCAGAGGGAGAAAGCAGGTGGCAACCTGAGAGCACAGCGAGCCTGCGGCACATCTCACTGTCATAAACAACTTGTCTGGTGTTTTTCCTTCTCCCACCAGGCACTGGCCTGGGATGACTCAGCCCTTGACAGAAAAGGTGGCTTCAAGTTGGGAAACAGCCCAGGGGTGTGGAAAGCTCATGATTCTGGAGTCAGACATTCCTGAAGTGGAGTTCTGACTCCTCTATTGCCGATTACGTGGCCTTGGACAAGTTCCTTAACCTCCCAGAGCAAAAGGGAAATACAAATGCCTTCCTCACTGGGTTGTTTTGAAGATAAAAATGTATATGTGGACAAAGTACCCAGTGCAGTGCCAGGCATATAGCAAGTGCTCCATAAATGCAAGTTTTCATGCCCTGGGTCAAGCCCAACCCCAACTTGGGGACTTCTTGAAGAAGGTGTTGATTGTTCCTCGAATGCTAGTCCAGTTCCATGACCTTGGGTGGAGTAGTGGCCGAAACTTATCCAGTCAAGTGACAACCAAACTGAGGTGTCGGGAGGCTGAGAAGGAGTCAGTCCTGTCAGGCATGTGGAGCATGGGAGAGTGGTCTGGGAAGGTGGGGTGGTTTGGGCAAAGGCCTAGAGGCAAAAGCTCAGTATAGCTGGAGTGTGGAAGGTCAAGGGGATGGAAAGTGGGAAGTCACAAGCACGAGCTGAGAAAATAATCAGAGATCCAACTGTGAAGGACTTTATCAATCAAGTTTCAAATTTTGAACTTTAAAAGTAACTGGGAGCCACGGAAGAGTTTAACTCAGTTGGGTAACGTGGTCAGGTCTGTGTTTTAGAACCACCCTCCTGGCTACACTGTAGAAAATAAGGTAGAAGCAGACAATCGTGGCACAGAGTCCCCTTAGGACAGGGTGACAGTAATCCATGGGAAAGGTGATACTGGCCTTTTCTAGCAAGAGGCTAGAGAGAAATAGACAAACTCAAGGGATAGAAGGTGTCATGGAGAGAATTGGTGAGAGTTTGGATATTCAGAGCTGAGAGGTATAAGTGATAAGTGCTTTGAATGAAGTCAGTTCAGAAGCCATGGAAGTACTGGGCAAGGGAAGAGAAGTATCATGGAAGGCTTTACTAAAGAGTTATCACTGAAATGGAGACTTAATGGGTATAAATTAGCCAAGGGAAGGTTGTGGGGAGGGGTACTTCAGGCAGAGGAAATAGTTCATGTGAAGGCCCAGAGATGTGAGATATAATGCAAGGAGCAGATACTCTGTGTTGTTGAATAGGTGATTGTTATACTAATTCATGCTAAAGTGTTAATGGTCAATCTGGTTTCCAGGGAGTTTGTATTTAACAGGTCAGGAATCATCATCCTAAAGATTCATTACTGATAGATTTCAAGGTGGAATCTGGACACGATTTAGGGCTATTTAGACTATTCTGTTTATACCATTATACTATTTACACCATTCTCCCTGAGGTTACCAAAGTAGATGACTGATCACTGAGAGTCAGGCGGGCTCTGGTCTACCTATAACAAAGGGTCTCTTGCTTTGGGGTCTTGTTTATCTGCCTCTACCCTGACCCACCTAGAGCCAGACCATGGAAGCCCAGGGATTCCCAAAGGGATACAGTATATTATAAAAAGCTAGACCCATTTCCTGGCTCCTCTCCTTCCCAGTTCTGTGACTTTGGCAAAATTATTTAATTTCTCTGCACCTGTTTTCTCATCTGTAAAATGAGGAAAATGGTAGTATCTACTATTTAAGGTTTTGTATGATTTAAGGTTTTTGAGGATTAAAAATGGTCATTTGTACAAAAAGCTTAGAATGGTGAGTGGTATGACTGTTTTTGTTACTAGTCCTTCACTCTGTCTCAGTCTCTTTCCGAAGATGCTCCTTAACACACACACTTGCAGATATGAAGCTGGGGCGGAACGTGGCAAGAACGTTTTTGGATTATTATCGGCTGAATCCCATGGTGGAGAGAGTGGCAATTCCCATGCCGAGACTGCGGTAAGTGACAGGGCAGAGCAGTGTGGGCCACAGTCCTGCTTACGTGGTTTCGTGTTCAGAGGCAGCTTCCCCGAGCTTCTCTGTGGTCTTCAGTTTCCCATCCATGGCCTGGGAAAGAAATTCCGGCCCTGCCACAGAAAGTATATGGGGCAGAAGAGCTTACAGCTTATTTCTTGAATATAAAGGAGCATCATGGGGTCAGAGAGTGAGGGGTGATCATAGTCTGGGTCTAACATGGGAGTCCGCAGGATGGGGGTTGCTGGAGAACCGAGTCCAGCCATTTTTCTAAGTTAGCCTGGGTATTTCCATATGCTACTGCATCAGGTAGCTCATCCTCTGGTAGCTGGATCATCTAGGCTCATAAGGTCTCTGATCCTCCCATTTCCTCATCCGTAAAGAGGGGATAATGGTGGTCACTCGAAAGGTTATTATGAGATGTGCGTTAAAGCACCCTGCACAGTGCCAGGCATAAATACATCCCCTCGGTGCAAAGTAGTCCCCTTCCCTCAAGATGTGAAGCTTCAGGGCTGGGCGGGGTACACCCCTGAAAAGTTTCACCTCGGGTCCTCTGCCGGGACCAACTTCTTTGGCCAGTGAGGAGAGAAGGTCAAGAGATTAGTACACTTCCCGAGGGCTGGACCAGAGCCCAAGGCCCTGGGCATTGCCATGCCTGTTGGCAGTGAGTCCAGTGAGCATCTGGGCAGGGACATCCAATGGCATCTGGATTATGCTGATCCTGCCTTGCCTCTTGACCTCATTTTCTACTCCCCTAGTGGTCCAGTCTCCTCCGAGGACATGAAGATGTCTAACCTACTGCTTCTGCCAGACCAGTCTTCCAACTGACCTTGCCCATGACCTTGACCATGTGCTTTGCTGTGTCAGGGCCTTTGTACCTTCTCCTTACTCTGTTATTAACAAAAATTATATTAGTCACTATTATTGAGTGAAGTGATTATTGTACATGATCTTATTTATTTATTCCTTGTAGATATTATATTCCTCATATTATAAATAAGAAAAAAGGGAGTTCAGAAAGGTGAAGAGAATTGCCTGAGGTTAAAGGTTTTTGTCAGTTCCAGAATTTGATCCTCGGCTTTTATGATTCCAAAGCTGGACTGAAGTCCAGCAGTTCCACCTGGAAAGTGTGGGTTCAAATTCTTTCTCAGGCTCATGCTAGCTGTGGAGTCTTAGGCAAGATTCTCGGCCCCATATCTGTCTGTCTGTCTGTCTGCCTATCTATCTATCTATCTATCTATCTATCTATCTATCTATCTATCTATCTATCTATCATCTATCTATCTATCTATGGTTGGGGGTAATAATAAGCTCCAAGGATGCTTTTAAAGATTAGATACAAACTTGGTACAGTGCCTGGCAGCCAGTAGGTGCTCAGTAAATGTTTCCATCTCCTCTGGTTTCTGGGTTGCAGTCCCAGATTTCCAACAAGCTCATCATGGCCTAGGGCAGGTCCCTGAACTTCTCTGGTTGGGCTGGATGATGTCTCAGGGCCCAGGTTCCACCATGCTGTGAGTCCCACCTCTCTGAGCCCCAGCTCCGGGAAGAGTCTGGATGGCAGTGTACTCTGGCTCATACTCTGACTCAGATTGTTCACCAGTCACATGAGGTTTTTATGCCCTTCATCCTGGGGGAGAATCACATTTATTTCTTCTCTGTGCTCCCACAGTGCCTAGACTGTACTAAGCATACATTCGTGTATGCAGTCATTCATTCGTTCATTCACTCAGTCAGTTAGGAAAACATCACTTTAGGCCAGGGCCCTGGGGGGAGGGAGGAGACAGAATTAAGAAATGATTAGGGCCTTACCCTGTCTTTGAGGAGCTCACTCTAGAGGGAAATGCTCAGTTCATTCTTAGAAGTCATTCTTGATTGGTTAAAGTTCTTAAAAATTTAAGACTTTATAAAACTCAAAAGAATTCTTAGAATCTCATTTGCAAGTTAATTTGGGGAATGTCTCTTTCAGGTCCTCTGTCAGCCAGAATCAAATTTTCTTGATCCGTTACCACTTTTTATTCCTGCATGTTGCATTGTCATAGACCAGTGAAATGGTGCTGACATTTAGGGGGACTTTAGCAATCATTTAGGCCCATTCTTCATGATACCGATGGGGAAGTCGAGGCCCAGGGAGCAGACAGGGCTGGTCAGATGCAGGGCTAGAGCCCGGGCCCCACAGTCTGCAGCCTGGTGTTCTCAGTGTCAGTTAGTGAAGAGTTCTTTGATATGGGGGAGCCAGCACCCTGAAACTGGTCCTAAGGATGCAGGGGAGTTCTCAGTGCCTTGATTTCACCTGTTCATAGAACCCCCTTTGCCTTGAGCTTTGACGCCCTCTTCAGAAAACAGCAAGAGAACTCATTCCTCCAAGTTTACAGCCTTGAGGACTTGAGGTAAACCCACCCTTAAATTAAGAAAAACAAAATTAACTCCCTCTCCATCCCACACCTCTGCCTCATCAAACTATGAATGCCACTTAGTTCTCAATTGGTCAGAAACTCTTTAAAAATGAACTTCCAGGAGGATACAAGACTCTGATTTGGGATTTAAATGTTCCCCTTTTCTCGTTTTGTTTTCCACTGAAGCATCAAATAGCATAAGTGAAAGAGCAGTTCTGGTTTTAAAGGAAAATTACATGTTTTGACTCAAAATTAATCTTTGTTTTCTCTTTTCTGTATGGGTAATTATAATATGTCAGTTTCTACCTTCATGCCAGCGGGAGCCTGTCAGCATCCCCAGGGTATGAGCCACCCTTCAGAGAGGGTCCCTGGGGAGGGGCAGCAACGTGGGCCTGAGAGCACAGGCTCAGGAACATTGTGCAACTGACCAAAACTGAGATCCCACTGGACCGCAGTGACACAATCACACGGCTGAAGCTCAAAATGCTCCGTCAAAATGGGTAAAACTTAAACAGGAAAGATGAACGTGCCAGGGAATCCTCAGTGAGGGTGAGTGTGGAGGTGTAGAGAGTGGGCTGACCTCTGAGCGTGAGGTGCGCTTAGGCTCAGCGACAGGCTGGTGGGGTTTTGATGTATGTGTGTGAATGTTGGCAGGGAATCATCAGCTACTCAATATCCTGGAGCCCACCATGTGCCAGGCCCTGTACTGTGCTGAGGACACATAGAAAGCCCTTGGGCTTCAGGAGCCCAAGTTTATAGAGGTGAAAGGCATGAACACAAGCAAAGATAACAAATAATACTGAAAAGTGTATGAAAGAGATCAGCTATGTATCGGATTATACCTTCTCTCAAATACCTGCCATGGCTCCCTATTACCTTCAGGGTAATGTTCCAATTCATCTTCTTGCTAAATCAAAGCCCTGGATTACATTTAAAACTTCATTCACAGCCTCCTAGCACACTGCTTCCCCTGTGAACACCCTCTTCACCCTACCTGTTTTCTACCACTTCTACCCAGTGCGAACAGGTCAGCTATTTTCATGCCTCCCTCCATATCTTCGTTCGTCCTTTTCCCTCTTCCTGGAATGTTCTCTCTTTTTTGTCAATAGATGGTGAACTCCTACTTATCTTTCAAAACCCAGCCCAAATATCACACCTGTTTCTGTGTCCCTGTTCAGCTGAGACAGAGCTGCTTTCTCTCTGCAGGATTCCTGACTGCATTTTGCACATACCTGTAGCATGGTATGTCCTGTAGTGTGCGGTCATGGCATCTCTGCATGTCTAGCTTCTCCACTAGACAGGTTGCTCCCTGAGGAACTGTTTTAGTCACTCGTGTCCCCTTGGTGTACAGTGCAGGAGCTGGCATGGAGTAAGTCTTAAATAAGCTCTGAATGCGTGAATTATGCAATGATAAAACTGAAGAAGTCCCTCATAGTCATCTACACACCCTTCATGTCGTAGGAAAGAAAAGTGAGACCCAGATGGAAATAACTCTCCCACACCACCTGGCAAGCATTCGGAGTCAGCAACAGTATCCTAAGAAGGCTTCAGGGAGGAAGTGTAGTTCGAACTCGGTTTTAAAGGACACGTAGAATTTAAATGGATGAAAAAGAAGGAGAGAGAGAGTATTCCATGTTGGGGGATAGGGTGTGGAAGGTGGGAAGCAGGACCTAAAAAGAGGCATTCTAAGGTCATGACAAGGCCAGGATGTTTAGTGCAACAGAGATGGTAAATTTAAGACTAAAAGTTTATTTCTGTTCATCAAACGCTCCTCAAGCGTCTACTCTATACCAGGCCTGTGCTTTGCTTGGGAGTTATAGAGGAAAGTCAAATGCATCACACTCAGTCTTATGAGAGAAACAAAGAACTACCTAAAAAATGGTGTGCTGAGGGGAGAGGCACAAAGTGCGACAGAAGCCTAGAGAGGCTTATTTTCTGGGAAGTCAGTTTCCCAAAGGAGGTGAGTCTGGAGAGGTAGGGAAGGGCATTATAGGAAGAAGAGCAGCCTCTACAGAGCCTGGAAGCATGGGATGTTGGCCTTCCAGTGCCTTGTCTCTCTCCGGGCCCCCATTTGAGTTACAGAGGTTCTTTGCCTCTGTAATGACCCCACCAGGCATTTGCATCCACACCCCTCCTTGGCCACTGCACATCTTCTCTCCATGCCACCATCTACCTAGGGTGCATACCCCACCTGTAACCATACCTCTACTACCATAAAAACATACCCATCTTATTTCTTATACTCCCTTGAGTATTATACACCCCTCAATGACATATAAATGGCACCTCGTGATTCGCAAGGACTTCCCCAAACCCCCATATATCAAAAGCAAGAAGGATAGAGGCTATTCTCATTATTTTAGAAATGAAACAGAGACTCAGAGAAGGGAAAGGACTTCTTCAAGATCACATTGCCTGTGAACAACATTTCAAGGATGCGCTCCAGGCTGTCAATGGCTATTGAGGTCTAGCTGTATCTTACCCATGCTAGACAGCCTTGCCATGTTAGCAAGGTCCCTCACGAGTGTGGAATTTCAGGCAGTGAGGCTTCCTGGTGGGGGAGATATGTTGAAGCAAGGTGTCCTTTTTGTGTGCTGCCACCTCTTCTGTCTTTACCTTCTTCATGACTCATGAACAGTGAAGGAAAACAGGTACTCCGAAGTCAGAGCATGATGGACTACGAGAAGTCACTTCTTCAACCCTAATTCAAGTATCTGAAGAGATTCCCATATTTATGGCATTTACCACTTTCTGGCATGCACTGTAGTTCTTTATTATTTTGTGTAGTTATTTCATGTAACTGTCTCCTCTAAACGGTATGTAGCCTTAGAATAGCATCAATGTCTGACTCAGTTTTGTCACCTCCAGAGACCATTGGACCATACCTAGCACCTAGCACCATGCCTTTAAAAGTTATAGTAGGCAAGGGAAGATGCTGAATGTATTTTTATCTCATATTATAATATAGGATAATAACGAGACTTATTTAACCTTGCAACACCCTTGCAAGATTGGAATACTTTATCCCCATTTTACAAATGAAGCTCAGAGAAGTCAAATAACTTGCTCTAGGTCACACCTCCTGTATATAGCTGACATGA